GGCAGCCCACAGACCTCAGAGCCAGAGACACAGTAGAGGGCCACATCCCTCCTGGCCTCCACTCCACCCAAGCATCTCTTCAGCAGATACTTGCTGAACTCTTCTTATGTATCAGACACTCTGCCTGGGGCTAGAGATCATCACTGAGTATATCAGTGAGCAGGGCAGATAGAAGCCCCTATGCTTGGAGAAGGAACATTCTCAGACAGACAGTAAGCACAGTATAATAATAAAATATACGAGAAAGACGAGGCTTTCTATTTCTGTAAGAGGTCACGGTCTCAGAAACTCAGCAATTCTGTCCTGCCCGGTACGGTTGCTATGAGCTGGCATTGGCTCGATGGCAGTGAGTTTGGTTCTGGAATGCTAAGTTGGATGCTGTTAAATACTAAGGGGGAAAATCATTTTGAAAAACCGAAAAAGAGGAACAGGGATTGTTGCATGTACAGTGTTCCTTTAAAAAAAAAAAGGTCTCCACTGATAAAGTGATGCTAGACTAACCAGAGAGAAAGAAGTGAGGCCATCCTGGGGTAGAATGTTCCAGGCAGATAAAAGCACAGATAGAAAGGCCTGGGGGAGGGAATGGGCCTGGCGTAGTCCAGAAACAGCAAGAGGCTGGTGAGTTGGAGGAGAGATGAGTCAGAGGGATGATAAAGGTTTCATGATTATGCCGGACCCTGTGGGCATAATTAATTAATTTGACCTAACTAGGCATGGGATGAGAGGCCATGTGATCTAATCTTATCTCATTTTACAACGTGATGTGTTAGCCAGAGCAAAGTTAGGTCTCCAGAGTCATCAAACTTGTTAGAGCCAGATGTTGGGATGAGCACCTATCCACGACCGTCTTCTCTCCTCACCACCAGGTAGCCTGTGTGGGGATGTGCACCCACACTCAGACTCTACTTCCCAGGGCAGCGGGCCAGCGGAAGGGCCATGCCATGGATCCGTGAGCTAATGCAAGAAGGCAGCAGACGTCTCAGAAGGGGACACAGGAAAAGTGTCTTCTTTTGTCTTGACATGCAGAGGAGTCCCTTGGGGTTTCCCAGTTGTTAGTCAAGGACTATGGTTTCATGAGCCTCTCCCAACTCCTAACCTGTATTCATTTGTAGGTTACTTGGATGTAGTTCACTGAGGTAAACATTTGTACAGTCCTAAGAGATTTGTTCATGATCTTGCAATCACCAGTATCATACCACCACTGCAAGAATTGGCAAGATTGAGTACTAAATACTATGTCAAATCAGTTTGAAAATAGGACGACCAGTTGAGAAGAGCAAATTGGTTGCACAATTTTTTGCCCAGTGCTCTCTGTCTTCCTGCTTTACTTTGAACCAATTCAAGCACTCTACCTCCTCCCATCTCCTTTATAGCTTATGTTCCTTGTCCTCCGGACACAGGCCAAGTCCTCTAATCTTCTTCCCGTGAGGGTCAGACCAGTGCTAAGTACAGAGAAGCATGCCTCTGTGCTGCCACCTCCATTGTCTCCTCCTTTCAGTCAGCCTGACGCCTGTATCCTGTGGACACAGTACCAATGGGGATCCCATCTTGTAGAACGACTCAGTTCCTAACTCTTTCCCTTTTCTTCCTCTGTTTTCTATTAAAAGATTATATTATTGGGGGCTCTTACAGCTTTTATAACAATCCATACATCAGTTGTATCAAGCATATTTGTATATATGTTGCCATCACTATTTTCTAGACATTTACTTTCTATTGAGTCCTTGTTATCAGCTCCCCGCCCCCATCTTTCCCTTCTTAAATCAAAGCCCTCACCACCACCACCACCACTTTGTTATAGACAATGTAAGAATTGTATCATATTTAAAATTTTTTTCTTGTGGCAAAACAGGTATAATATAGGAATCCTCCAAGTACTCCCTCAACGCAAGAATACTTTCTTCTATTAAATTGGCATTCTATGATGCTCACCTTCCCGACACAACCACTGAAGACAAAGCGGGTGAATAAGCAAATGTGGTGAAGAAAGCTGATGGTGCCCAGCTATCAAAAGATATAGCGTCTGGGGTCTTAAAAGCTTGAAAGTAAACAAGTGGCCATCTAGCTCAGAAGCAACAAAGCCCACATGGAAGAACATATCAGCCTGTGTGATCACGAGGTGTCGAAGGGATCACTGAAGACAAATGGGTGCATAAGCAAATGTGGCGAACAAAGCTGATGGTGCCCGGCTATCAAAAAGTATAGCGTCTGGGGTCTTAAAGGCTTGAAGGTAATCAAGCGGCCATTAAGCTCAGAAGCAACAAAGCCCACATGGAAGAAGCACACCAGCCTATGCAACCACGAGGTGTCAAAGGGATCAGGTATAAGGCATCATCAGAACAAAAAATCTTACCATAGTGAATGATGGGGGGAGTGTGGAGTGGAGACCCAAAGTCCATTAGTAGGCCACTGGAGATCCCCTTGCAGAAGGGGTCTCGGGGAGGAGATGAGCCAGTCAGGGTGCGATGTAACAACGATTAAAAATACAGCTTTCCTCTAGTTCCTAAATGTTTCCTCCCCGCTCCCACTACCATGACTCGAATTCGACCTTTCAACTCTGGCTAGACCAGAGGATGTATACTGGTACAGACAGGAAGTGGAAATCCAGGGAATCCAGGGCGGATGAGCCCTATAGGACCAGTGGTGTGAGTGGCGAAACAGGGAGGGTAGAGGGAGAGTGGGTAGGAAAGAGGGAACCGATTACAAGGAACTATATGTGACCTCCTCCCTGGGGGACGGACAACAAAAAAGTGGGTGAAGGGAGACGTCGGACAGGGCAAG